GGCTCTCTTCTTTCAAATGAGTTTGCATTGCTATGACCTAGCGTCATTGATGGATGGGTTCTTGTCCTCAGAGAACTTTCTCTGTTATCCTGATGTAAAGTTTTATTTCTAATGATTCTTTTTAACAAGGACAGTTACTTTCTTGGCATCTGCCCCATATGCAACTCTAGCCATGCCCACATGCCTTTCTTGGCTAAGGTGCGCGATTTTTATATCTTTCTGTCCCCTTCCATTGTCAATAAGGCTAAAAGTAACAAGCAATAATCACAACCTGAATGCTACACCACTTCAAAATTTCCTCTGTCGGATCACTTAGTCATTTTTAAATTCACTTTCGTTCCATTTTTCAGGTCATGGGCAAAACATGGCCAGATTATTTTCTAGAAGGTAACACACATGGCCTCTTGTCTAGTTGAACCCTTGTGCTCCTCTGAAACCTCCTGAGCATGGCCTTTACTGTCTATATTTACCCTGGCTTTCTGGTCTACCACAGCAGAATGGCTGAGCTAGCTCTGCTTACATCATTCTAGGGATTCTTTAGACCACAGCCCCAACATGTAACTATGACAAATCCAAGGTGTGTGACGCACAGGTTCACGTTTGTCAGAATAATGTCCTCACTCTTCATATTAGCTTTCTATACCAGTTACTCTTCTCCTTGATGTGACCAAATGCCTGATAAAATAAAATTAAGAAAGGAAGGTCTTACTTGGTCTCATGTTTGGAGAAGCACACAAATTCAGGCATGTGGTGGAGGCATGGTGGCATGTGGTGAAGGTTTGGTGACAGGTGGCTACATGGTGACAGGTACAAGAGGCTACTTCTCCACATCTTCACAGATGAAGAGCCAAAGAAAGTAGAGTGTTAGAGCTCTACTGGTTTCTGTTTGTTTATTTTTGTTTTGTTTTTTTGTTTGTTGTTGTTGTTTTGACCTTTGTATTCAGTCTCAGACTCTTGTCCACATTCAGGATATATTTTTCCTCCACAGTTAACACTTCTGAAAATGCCTCCACTGACATACCCAAAGGTATATCTCCTAGGTGATTCTCAATCCAATAAATATGCCAGTAAAGACTGATCATCACACTTTGGAAAAACAACCAAAGGACAAGTAAGTAGAATAGTTTTCTGTCTTTTTCCTAGAAACACTTTGTGCTGAGCCACTTCATGCTTCCTTGGCCACTTGCAGCCATAGGCTTTGGGTTGAGCACAGACTGTTTCTTTCCAAAAACTTTGCCACCATAACTTTCCCTCATATTTCAGAAATTAACTTAATGCAACTTCTTTGCACAGTGACCTTCTTGATCTCCAGATTCAATTACTGGTTTACTGTGTTCTGTCACTATAACACGCAGTGTTTGTCATTTTATTAAGATTCATTATAGTCAGTTCTCATTATTCACCGTGGTTTGTCCAAATCCCTGAACTATCACTTTCTGAAACATTGCTCCAAGCAGAAAGTAGCTGCCTTATTGATCAGAACTGGGGTGGAGTTGGTGACAGTCTAAGCTCCTTGCATTCTTCTTTGCCCTACTGTCTGCCCTATCCGGTCCTTTCTGTCTAGGAGCTCAAACCAAACAGAGTGACCTCTGGAAACTTGTCCATCTGATTATTCCAATTATCCACAGTCCCTGCAACTGTCTACCACTGATTGATATGGAAGTTATGGATATTTTTAATAAGTAGATGAATCCATAAAGACAAAATGAGGAGCAACTATGTATATAATTTTTTAATATCTGTCTTGCTCATCTCTAATTTTCAGGAAGGTGGCTACTGCATTTATTATCTTTACCATCATTCCGTTCACATCTAGTCAGCAGAGGTGGCTCAAGTCAGGTGTTCAGTAATGGCAGACTTGAGTTAAAGAGGGAAAGGATACATTGGTGCATTAGAAGTATTCCTTGGGTGGGGATGTAGCTTAGTGGGAATGGTGGTTTCTGTATAAGCATGAGGAACCTGAGTTCATTGTCCAGATTTCACATGAAAAAAAAAAAAGAAAGAAAAAGCTCAGTGTAGTAAAAGTGCTTATAACTCCAACCCTGGAGATGCAGAGGCAGTAGACCCCTGGGGGGCTCTCTGGCAGGTCCACCTATTCAATGAGGTGAGTTCCAGGCTAGAGAAAGACATATCCCCCAAAGCAAGGTAAATACCACCCCAAGAAAGAACATATATAGGTGTCTCTGGCTTCTATATGAACATACACAGGCACCTACTCATATCCACATCACATACATACTCACAAAAGTAAAATTGTTCTTAGAAAGATGTCTTCTTGGAGCTAGGACAAGTAGGTCCCGAGAGTTGGTCTTCTTCATTGTAGAGGCTAATGGATGAGCTTACTTTTGGTGGATAGTTGTTAACACTTAAGCTGCTAGCCAGCTTTCCCACTTTGTGGTGATCCTTGACCAACTATAAGCACAGGATCCAAGTTAGGGAACACATCTTTGCCAATCTTTTCTCCAGGAGCTTAGCCTTGTTGCTGTTATACCTGATATAGCCTGTCTCCCCCATGATTCGTGATCCAGCTTCCTACCCATAGTAGTCAAAGTTCTCATTACTTAAAAACAGAAACTGACTCAGATTAACTTAAACATAAAAAGAATATTTTAGGAGGTGTCATGTTACAGAAGCTATGAGAGGACAGGGAATAAAATTTGCACCATAGTCAAAAGACCTGAGGCCGAAATAAAAACACTCTTATGGGGACCCTGCATGGGCTACCACTGCAAGAGGCATGGCCTGCATCACATGTCACTCATCTTCCAGTATTCTCTTTGAGTCTTCACTCCATCACAGTGGCCTAAGTGCATTCTTGTTCCTTACTACTTGAGAGTCATATGTCCAAGCTTGTGTTTGCCAAACTCAGTTCTGGACAGTAGAATCAGTAAGTGTCAAAGCCACCAGGTGGTTCTGAGACCCTTGTGCTATGGGCTGAATGTTTGTGTCTCTCCAAAATTCACATAGCAAAGTCTGTATTTATTAATGTGATTAGGAGGTGGGGCCACTGATGGAGGCTTCACTGATGGGATGACAGCATTTACAAATCAGGCTCAGGAGTACTGCCTTGCTACTTCCACATCGAGGTGTGATGGGAAGGCACTATATCCAAACCAGAGAGGCAACTCACTAGGCTTTAGATCTGCCAATGTCCTGGCACTGGACTTATCCTACAAATTTTTGCTGTTTGTTTATAAGAAGTTTAGTTTAAGGGATTTTGCTATACCAGTCTATAAGAACTAAGGCATCTAAATTTTCTAGTAGTTTAAAGCAAACATTTTTCTAGAGTACATAGTGTTTGTAGCCAACATCTAAACCTGACCTGCCTTTCCTTTTCCTCTCCCCTTGTGAGATAGGGAAGCTGGAGTTTGGTCCTTTGTTTTATATAAGACTTATCAAAGAGCTGCTCCTGGTCTACCTTAACATGTAGGAGAAATCTGGAGTACCCTAGTAAGATCATTCTTTCCTCCTTCCATTCCCATCCCTGAGGAAGCAGGGTCTATAGACAAACCCAGAAACCCATAAAAGAAGAGCCATCTACTCTGCTCCTGGGTTTCTAGGTTTTTCTAACATCACCAGAGTGATTTAATCATCCTTAGTTTGGTTGTCAATGTTTGTGTTGCATGTTCTTTCATGGCTTTTGAAATACATCTGCAAAAGAATTGAACATAAGTATAACCATCACAATTATTAATTATAATTTATGTTTACAGAGGGCAATTAAATTAAGAAGTAAAAGTCTTCAAATATACCTTCAAGCAAGTGCTCTTTGATAGCATTCATCCTTAATGTTTACTGCTTGTTCATCTTCCAAGGACTGTGAGTTCTGTATCATCACTGACATCATGCCCTATCCTTTTCCAGCATCAAGCATAGTGCCCAGCTCAAGCTTATGCAGCTAGATATATGTATATATACACTGTGTATGTAATTTGTAGTTCATATGACTGCATAGTACACAATGAATACTTAATAAAATTAGTTGTAGACTAAGAATAGGAATCAAACTAGCTATGTAAATAAAGCAACTGAGAAGGAAGTTATTTCATTCTCAGAAAGGGATTTTTACTTGTTTGTTTGTTTTTGCATTAAACAGGATGGGAGAAAACATCACAGGCTCTCTGAAAGTAGAAATTCCTTTATTAGCCTTACACAAATGGGACAGATACCATGTGTAGCACTCTCTGTAGAATTCGTCATTTCTCAAGAATCTCGGGCAGGTTGGTCACACACAGATCCCAGGATATGCTCCTCTTGGACCTGGACTTGTTTGGTTGCAGATCATGGGTGAGGCAGACAGCTAACTATCAACTGCTGTGAGAAATGAAGTGACAAGGAGTGGGTCTGAGTACATGGGGTTTTGAAAAGTATGGGATACCAGTACCTGCAGGGAAGAGCTCCTTAGCGTTTGTCCTAGAATTTTGTATTTCCAGCTTGTTTCTTGTTTGCTTGAAGGACAAAGTGTTTTGTTTTATTCCCTCTCCAAAGCTTAGAGAAGTGTCTCACAAAATAAGAGCCTGATTAAGATGACCCCTAGCCCCACCCCACCCCCAAATCTCCTTCCTTCCTTCCTTCCTTCCTTCCTTCCTTCCTTCCTTCCTTCCTTCCTTCCTTCCTTCCTTCCTTCCTTTCTTTCTTTCTTTCTTTCCTTTTTTGAGGAAGACGTTTTTCTGGAAGTAGTTAGCCTCTCTGGCTTTCCATATGGTGTCTTTCTGAGCCTTTTTCTTTCTTCTTTGTACATTGTAGACTCTTGGCTACTGGGTACTGTTGGAACCTTAAATTGCTCATGTAGGAGTTGAACAATTTCTACTTTAACCTTATGTTACTGTAGCATTTTGCATAATATATATAATTTTTAGTGAAAGCTTTTCATAAAACTGAACACTCTACAGGTATTCCGCCTACATGGACATCTAATTTCATACCCCTGATGGATTTCCCTACACTGTTGCTAGGAGACAGAGACACTGCCTAACAAAAGATGCTGAGTGTATCAACCATGCAGCTATCTGCTCCCCTAAGTCCATTTGCTTGTGGTACATGCAGCCTAAAATGTGCTGCTTGTGACAATGAAGGCAGCTGTGGGAACAGCTTAGCACACTGAGATAGTTGAACCAAGACCTGAAGCAGCCTCTGCGTCTCACGCTTCTCCCGTCTTTGTGAACACAGAGGTGGGGCAGTCCTCCATTACTCCATCTTAGAGCCAGAGACAAGTGAAGGAGAATCAAGAGTCTAGGTAAAAGTCAAGGATTGCTGGTAAGTATGTCTCTCTTGACATCTTCAGAAATCCCCATTGGCAGTTTAATTAGTACAAATCATATCACCAATTTTGATATTTTCAAAATTGCAGATATCTTTTGTAGTGTGTCTTATGAAATGAATCTGGGGAAGTTCAACTTGAGATAGTGCGGAAGGAATTTTGTCAATTTAATACAGAAAATAAATAAATTAATTCATCGCTGTAGAATGAATATTTGTATCCTATGTCCTCCCAACCCCCAAACATGTATGTCAAAGCTCATACAGTCAACATATTGATGCTAAGAGATAAGGTCTGTGGGAGAGGAGACAATTCAGATTAAGTCATGGGGAGAGAGTCCTCGTGGTGATAGTAATATCTTTACTAGAAGAGACTAGAGATCTGATTTCCCCGCAACACACTCCATATGACAAACAGCAAGAGGGAAATGTCTAATAGCTGGAAGAGTATCTTCACTGAGCTCTCATTAGATAGTGTCTGAGTTATGTGTGCTTGCTTGCCTTTGGAACACATGCTTGCTCACTCATCCCCTGGTCTTTCATTTGTTATGGCATCCCAGGCTAAGATAACTGTGAACCTTTAACACTGAGAGACAGGAGACACATGCTCCTGATATCTGATCTCCAAACAGTAGGTAGCTCCTGGGATCTTCATCTGGTGAATCATCACCAGGCACTTCCCTGTAGAAACCACCGCTTTCAGTCTAAGCCTCCCTTGTTTATCTCCGTCCACTTGTGCTTCCTTCTTGACACTCTGCAGCAGCCTCCTTTTCTGGAACACACTTCACTTCACATATAGAACATTCCATGTGCCTTCCAGATCTCAGCCAGCTTGTCCCTTAGCTACTGGACATTCCCGCACCACGTGACTGAGATTTCTTAGCACTCCACTCCCCGCCTCTCTGTTTCTGTTTTAGTTTTGACACGATTAAGCTCTACTTTCTACCCATAATTCCAAGTAGTTCTCATGATTTGGGATTTGGGGCTTTTGCTCTCTCATGTTTCTCCTCCTCATGTTCCTCAGCCCTGAGGTAATTACCTACTTACAAGTTCAACTAATTGTGGTGACTTCCAAATCCAGGTACTCAGTACCACCCCTTTACACTTTTCTGGGAAAGACAACTGGAATCAGGGGCATCTCTGGGATGAGCTCAAAACCTAGTGCAATGGAAACTCCCAGAAATCTATGAGGATGACCCCTAGCTAAGACTCCAAGTAATGAGAGATACAGAGCCTGAACCAGCCATCTTGTGGAACTAGGCAAGTCTTCCAGTGGAGGGATTGGGGCACAAGTCCAGCTACATAACCTTTGACCTACAATTTGCCATGTCTACAAAATGTGATGGGGTAAAGGTGGTACAGAAATTATGGGAGTGGCCAACCAATGACTGGTCCATTTTAAAACCCATACCATAGAGAGAGCTCACCTCTAACACTGCCTGGTGGGCCAGGACCCAGAGGCTGGACAGCTCAGAGACCTAGGATAGAACCAAACATGACTGGCAAAAAAAAGCCAATGAAATGATTTTTAATGATATTCTGCTTATACTCAGAGATCATTACCTAGCCCATTGTCATCAGAGAGGCTCCACCCAGCAACTGATGGAAACAGATGCAGAGACCCACAGCCAAACCTTAGGTGGACCTCAGAGAATTCTGTGGAAGAGGAGGAAGAAGGATTATGGGAACTAGAGGTACCAAGGACACCACAAGAAAACCCACAGAATCAGCTGACTTGAGCTTCTAGGGGCTTACAGAGAATGAACACACCACCAGAGAGCTTGCATGGGACTGACCGAGGCCCTCTGTACATGTGTTATAGTTGTGTAGCTTGGTCTTCTTGTGGGTCTCCAAACAGTGGGAGCAGGGGCTGTCTCTGACTCTGTTACTTGCTTGTGGGACCCTTTCCTTCTGCTGGGTTGCTTTTTCCAGTCTTAATAGGAAAGGAGGTGCCAAGTCTGACTGCAACAAATTAATCAAATAATTAATAATAAAATAAAAATAAAAAAGACAGTCACTTGAATGTCCAGTTGTCTGTTCAACTTCTACTCAAATAAAATACATAAGTGACCCAAAGCATTTGCCTTGGCAGTCATAAACACTTAAGGTCATGTAATAGTCACAAAATTTTGGGACTCTCTGAGCCTACATTTTATCACTTATAAAATTAAAGTATTAGTATCTGCTTTTCAATATTATATGAAGAATTGAATGTCTATATGCGAATATATAAAGAACATCACTCAGCACTCAAACACTATCTGAAAATATGCTAGCCAGACTCTATGTAATGATTAGAATAAATCATCCCTCTTAGTTTTGAGATAACACAGCTTTCATTTCTTTAGAAACATTTGGTCCCATTCCAATATTGCAAATTGAAAGTCAGATCTTCTTTCTTCTAAGATTTGTTGGATTCTCATCCAGGTTCTCATTTCAGCATCCTGGCCCTGGATGATTTAACTCACCCAAGCTGTTGCTCTGCCCCTGGTCACTTACACTGTGCCCTCACCCCACTTAGTTGCTTTAGAGTGTGCTTTTATGAATTTACCCTCCTGAAAAGGAATCACGTTCCACCGGGCCAGAATCAGGTGCAGGCATCTGCTTCCACCGCAGCCATCCTTCCTCTCCTAGCCAGCTCCCTGCTGCACCCTGGCTTTCTTGTCTGGGCTCTGCACATGTTTAGATAGCTCTAAAGTGGCTTCCTTTTCCTGTTCTGTTCCTTGTACCATCAAGGTCTTTCCATGCTCCTCAGTCTAATTTACATCCTGGTACTTTTAGAAATTTCTATAGCTTTCTAAATCTGCTAGTGCCAGAATGTCTAGCCATCCACTGTTTTCCATTTTTGACCCAAGAATTGATTGAGTCCTGCTTGTTTTACATATGATCTCATTCTAAGTTCCTTGAATATAGGCTATTTGCTTTCTGGTATCTTCTGGGTTACTATAGGTGTACAATCACTATAGATAGTGACAGATTTCCAAAGACATTCCTTTCAGGTTGATCAGATTCACACCCATATCTTTCCATCCAATTTATCTACTGCTATTCCCTTTTCTCATTTCTATTTTCATGTTATATACAAATATATATATAATATATGTAAATCTATATAGAATCTAGGATTCACAAATAAGTGAAACATGAATTTTTCTTTCTCTGGTTTATTTTGCTTAATATGCTGATCCCGTTGCATCTATGCCTTCTTTCTTTTTCTCTCCTGGCTTGTATGTAGAAGAAACTGAATTTTCACCATTGCTTGTCAACACTCTGGTTCAAGTACCCCAGAGAGAAACTGAAAGCTTTCAGATTATACTTCATTAAATTATCAATATTTGATCAGTTATGATCTACAACACAAATGACTTCACATGGTTCAACTTCAACTTCATGTCCTAATTACTAAAATAGCAAATTAACTCTTACACTGCTAAAAAAAATAGTATTTTTTTTATTTCAAAAACCAGGAATATCTTACTTGTCTCTTCTGATATTGCCCATGCTTTAGAAGGACATTTTTACATGACAGATGAAGTTTATGTTCAAAATAGGATAGTGGAGACCAAATTGGAAGTGTTTATACTGTAGTGAGTATGTTTTAGCTTCATGTTTACTTTTGTCTATTTATTTTGAGACAGGTTTTTCTTATGTAGTTCTGGCTATCTTGGAATTCTCTATCTAAGTCCTTTGTTGGCCTTAAACTCATGACAGTCCTTCTGCTTCTGCCTCCTGAGTGCTGGGCTTGCAGGTGTGTACCGTCACAGCCAGCTACCATGTTTATTTTTGGAAGGGAAATTTCTAGAACATATGATGAATGATGAGCATAGCTATTATAATTACATAAGAAAGATCTCTGCTCTGCCACCTCCTAGACTAAATTCGAACAACTTCTAAAACATTCCCTGTAACTGGTTCTTCATCTGGAATAAGAAGGTTGAGCAGCCACACATTTGTTTCTCAGAATCAGGGTTCAGTTTAAATGAACGAGTTCATAGAAAGCCCTTGTCATAACACTTACACACGAACAGCAATGACTGACTGTTAGCTGCTTTCATCGCCTTAAGTTTTATTAAAGATGATTGACTACAGATGAAGCCCAGCACCACTAAACATAACAATATCTCTATGATTATGAGGTAATAAAATATTTTCAATTGTTTTTGTTAAATTTTATTTTGGGTGATAGTCAACACTTATCAAAATAAAAAAGGTGAACAAGTGGCCACTTCCAACAGATTAAATTATTATAATGTCATGTTGTGTCTCTCCATTTTTCCTTTGTAGATATAAATTCAGAGATTCAGAGTTAACAGAAGCATCTGTCCCTCTTTCTAAAATGTCCTGAAATTTCTGCAATAGGTCCTTTCTTCTTCACATGTATTCCTTATAAAAATGAAAGGGATAACTTCAAAAAATAACAAATTATTCTACTAAAGCCTAATTATTCTTAGCCTTAAAAAAAAATAAATTTAAGCCATAATATTTGGCAGTGATGTGGCTCATCATGAATTAAGAATGTGTCTGGGGCTCTGGAAATGGTTCTGTCAACAAAGTGCCTGCTGCAAAAGCATAGGAACATGAGTTCAGTCTCTAGAACCCATGCACACTTTGAATCTCAGTGCTGAGGCAGGTAGATCCCCAGGGTTTGCTGGCAACCAGCCTTGCCTAATTGATGTGTTCCAGGCCAGTGAGAGGTCCTGCCTGTCTCAAAAGAGAGAACAATATCTAAGGACTAACAATCAAGGTTGCCCTCTGGCCTCCACACATGTGTATATACCTTCACACACACCTACAACATATGTATATAGATATAGGCAAACACACACACATGCACACACCCGTACAAATGTGTCTGGTTGAAAATATCAACAAGATATTTAAAGATTGATTTACATTTTAAATTGCTCCTTCTTTTCATAATAATAATGTGTTTATACAGATTTTATTCCTGAATAATTCCATGTGTTTAAATATTTGGCAAGTTACTATTTTAAGCC